GCCTTTGTGACGCTTACTTCCGGGGCGGCCTACACAAATATGTCATCAATGCACCACTCTATTGGACCAATACATCACAATTTATTCTAGTTGGCTCACTCAACATTTCCACCTAGTTTTCAATGATTGAAAATGTAAGAACAGCGACACCCCAGCTTATTTATCTGTCTACGTACGTAAGGCTTCACGCTAATGTTGGGGATCCAGCAACAATTCCTCGGTCCAATTGACTTGAAATGATGTCTTTCTCATGCTAGAACAAAGGATCATTGGCCTTCAGATTACAGACAGCAGTCACGGGATGATGAGGGTAATAGAGGAAATAGACTAGACTAAGAGAAACAAACTGGCCTCAAACACAGACGGATTACATTCCCATGCTTTGCAATCCCGACAGATAGCGTAACTGTTGGTACTTTATGCATAATTGCATTGCAGTGTGGCAATGCAGAGCTCTAAGTGTATTAACTCACATGTACTAACACAGACACAAACAAAGCAAGGGGATTCCCACTCCTACAGTCTTGCCTGATCCCTACATGAAGGCATGCATCTCACATAAACAAGCATGTTGTTTTGGTGCCATAAAGCATACGTCTCCTCCGTGGCAGCCCCCGCTTCCTTCCTGGCCCTTGTCATTAATAGCGAATAAAATAACGCTTTCTGGGCCGACATCTGGAGAACACGGCTCCAGCTAAAGGTGTTGCTATTAGAAGTACCCTCCGTGTAATTACTTCTGAGCAACATCAAAGACGGCGACCATTCTTTCCACGTTGAGGCGTGGTACTTAATGTGCTACAAATTTGTACCAAACATTCTTCAGTAATGCCCATTTGTCTGCTACTGGAGGAAACAAATTAAAATGCCAGAGCGCTTACCGTACTTTCTGTACAACCTGACTCTCATCTTGATTCCACGTGACATGGAAGCCAGTGTTTTAAAGCTCATATTTCAATTTGTGGATGAAATTCAAATGGTTAGACATTGATATGTTGACTAATAGCAATCAGCATTTGGAGACATGTTTGGTATTGGTGAAATTACTTTGGATTCCATTCATTACATTTCAAGTCACAGACAGCTTTTGATTCGCAGTCAAAGAATTTCAATTGTTCTATCTAATGAGAGAAGTTTAATTGTTGTGATTTGACAGTTAACATATCCTTATACAACAGTGTTGTTTGATATGTCTTGCATTTTTCGTGCATTCCCAACGATTAATATTCCTCTGCATGCCCCTGCAGGCAGCCGCCATACTGGGGTTAGGGTTAGGAAAATATTGGGGTTAAAATAAACATGGTTATTACACGTGAGTTACATGTAGGTGCAGTGGCGGTTCTAGAACATTTTACATGGGGGGGCAAAGGGGAGGCAATAGGTCATGCCAGGGTGGCATGGGAGGGCGGACAGTACGTGGTATTTTATACTGTATATAACCTATTTATTGTTAATTCATGCCCTAACACAAGTGTTCTTAATGCACAAGAGAAACAAGGTGTTCAGACAAACAATCGGGTGCCCTTTGAGTCCCCCAAGCTTACGTCAACCATTTTAAATGAAAGGAAACTACAAAATGTATTTTAAAGCAATGAATTAATGGAACAGGTTGTTTTGCATTACAATGTAAAATTAAATATATATTTTGTTTTAGACATACACAAAAATTGGTTGTCTTAGACAGACATATTTGCATGTCCTCACTAAGCATTATTACATATTAATTTAATATTAAACAAATCAAAATGGCCAATTATCCCAACATGTTGCTGCTAATATAATCACATGCTTGTCAACTTTAACTGATCAAAAATCAATTCTGAAAAAATACTTGAATTATCTATGAAATTGCAATATTGTCCCTCAGTTTGTTTCAACCAGTCACGCCATACCATTTACCCTCCTATTAAAAATAATGGATCAGTCCATGTGTGATCTGCATTGAGGGAATTACATCACAAAAGTGTCAGTTTCTTCTCTTACCTATATTTCAGTTTTTGTATTTTCAGATTAAGATTGACAAGCTCAACATTTCAACTATGTTGTATGAATTAATAATAGTAAATAATTGTTTATTACAAAAATAAACAATAGTTTTGCAAAATATTACAATTTTGTAATGTCCTTGACTGGTGCCATATCTTAGCTAAACAAGGTCTCATGCCTACTTTTTGTCAAAAACTTCAACTCTGTTACATTTTTTCAAGGAAATTCCTAGTAATTATTTATATTTTGTACCTGAGGTGGGAACATGTAAGTAGTCCACTACCAGATGTTATGAGCAAACATTTTGGTTTCATTTTTCAAAGATATAAAGACCCAAAAGGCACCCGATTCAGAGAATACTCAGAATTCTGCATACTGTAAGTACTTAATTATAATTAAGTACACAAATGACATCACCCATCTCTTCAGAGAGCTACAGGTGACCTGTGCAGCAACACATTTCAATCAATATTTGTCAATACTAAGAGCTGCTAGATTGTGCTGCTGTGATGGAATATGTAAGGAGAATAAGAACATACCATGTGGTCCAGCTGGAGTTTCATCTGCCTCCTGATCCCTGCCTCTGTCCCTCTTTCTGATACTTCATCTTTATTCCTCACATACATTTCTTCTTCTTCACTAATGTCTTCATCTCCTCCTCTTCCTCCTGCTCTGACCCTCCTGGTCTCTTCATCTCCTCCTCTTCCTCCTGCTCTGACCCTCCTGGTCTCTTCATCTAGCTTTTCCTTTTCCTCTTTCTGTTCGTCCTGATCACTTCTCATATGTCTTTTTGTTGTTGTTGAATCACTCCTATACTCTGGCCTGCAAGAGTCTACTTGTGAAAAGCACTGGCACAAATGCTTGTATAACTTTACAAGTTAGGGCCATGTAGCCTAGCTAATATGTAGCATATCATAAATATAACATCAGAAAGTATTGATCAAGCGCACACAGGCAGCTGTGTTTGGATCCAGTTTTTACGGTAAAGGATGTATCCTGGTTTCATTGATCTGGCCTCATGGCTGTGATGTGTAGTTTACGTGGATTTAATAGTAGGCTACCGCGTAGTTTAGCAAAGTGATCGATCTCCCAGCTAACGCTGTCTGCGTAGTATTTTGTAACGTAACGCCCGAAACAGCGCCCGTCTGTTAAACGCTATCGATTCAAACTAAAGCGTTTTATTAATATTTAGTTTCAAGCTCTCGTCTTTAGTAAAAAGAAAACTAGTGGAAAGGGAAATGCTCCAAGGGGAAGCTGATCCATAGGTGCTGGGACAGCTCGCTCCCTCTCTGCAGCGGTGTGAGCCGCGGGCTGTGTGAACGCCGCTCCGCAGTTTAATGCAGGGCCGTAGCTGCGTTTTTAACGGGCCTAAAATGATATTTAAAATGATTCACTTTTAACTAATGTAATGCTTGTTTTGTTGCTTGAGAAGCTTGTGGAAATAGTGTAGGTTTGTTTTAGTACAGTTTTAGGGAAACAAAAGTTAGGGGGGCAGCTGGGGGGGCAAGGCTCTGCAGTGGGGGTGCAGCTGCCCCCCCTTGCCCCCCCGTAGATCCGCCCCTGTGTAGGTGTTAGTTGCATGCTACTTTACATATTCATAGTACAGTAAGTCAAACTAAAGTCAGGGTTGAGTTTTGGTTTGACAAGGCCCATGAACATTGGTTATCTGGTTGATAGTCTTGGTTTGGTTGACATACAGTTAAGCCCGAAATATGTTGCTTTTATAGAGAAATATCCTGATAAAGTGGATAATATACATATTAAAGTGCACTATATTTGTCTTGTGTACAAACAGAGAATCAGAAGAGCCTTAAAGACGAGAACATTTGGTTGTCAGAAGACTCACACATTGCTGGCTAATGACAAAGGACCAATAGTCTTTTAAAATGTGACATAATGTGTCATTTAAGTACATTTATATCTGTGTTTTCCAAGCAGCACAGCAAATCATCTGATTGACTGAGTGTCAGGAAGTTGAAGTAGTGAGCCTCATCAAGAGACTGAATCAGCTTCTTTGGGGTCAAACGTCACCGTAGCAACATCAGAGCAGGGCATTTACCAACCTCTTCAATGTAATCAAGTTCTCCAATGTGGAAGCAAATGAGTTTGTCACAATTACAAAAAGCTTGTCATACATGTAGTTATTTTAATGTATATTTAGCGAGGATACAGTGTGGAGTAGATACAATTCTTCAGTGAAAGAAAGTGAAGGATCAAGTCAGCAGATGCAAAGGCTAATTTAATTTTGACAAAAAGGACAACAATTAGGGTCGCCAGATATTTCACTTGGTAGAACTGCCAGCCAATGAACTGCCAGCCAAGTCCTCGCCTAGCTGACCGGGGTTCGCCTCCGCCCTGGGGGCCATTTACATGGGTCATCCCCTCTGTCTCCCCCTTTAACATATTTATGATGGAACTGGGTGCCCAAAAGTAATTACAAATGTTGAATACAATCTAATTTAAATATGATTAATACATATTTCGTATTAGTCCCTAGGAATTAGATTAAGGGACAGGTACTGTTGTGATCAACAGTTGACTTCTGTTTTCTCACCGAATTGTACATTACTTTATCTTGTCTTGCATGTTGTTAAGTTTTGAACTTCACATCCACATCTCATAACAATAGCATATCAATATGAGACTGAACTCCTGGAATAAGGCCCTCATAAATAATTGTCTCTGCGATCTGAAAGACCGATAAGTGTGTATCTCCACACTGCTGTTGACACTGTCTGACAGACGGAGTTCCAGTAAAGTCAATGGATTCATTCATGGTACAGTACTTTCTCTCTTGTGCAGCTGTAGAGTGAGTGTGTGTGTGTGTGTGTGTGTGTGTGTGTGTGTGTGTGTGTGTGTGGGAAAGTCAAAGAAAGAGAGAAACAGACAGAAAAGGCGGGTGTAGGGGGTGCAACTCATATGTAACCTGTAACTTGAGAAGCTGATAACAAGGAGCGAATAAAGAATGAGCTTGTGAGGAAGGAGTGTGTGTGTGATTGTGTGTGTGTCAGAGAAAGACAGACAGAGGAAGAAAATAGCTGTGCTTTTGTTTCCCGTGCTCACGTCCCGTGCCCCCTGATCTCCCTGGGAAATTCACTTCAGTATATTTCTCCTTTCTCGTTACACTCATGTGTCTCCCCTGTTTTGGGAGGAGGCCTAAAAACCGGACTGAACGAGAGGGAGGAGAAAAACCCAGGCAGAGAAAGAGAGGGAAATCGCCTGAAGCCAGACTTTGCCTGCTTATTCAGCGCTGAGTGCTGCACTGCGCCGTTTCCAGTTGTGGGATGTTAAGATTTGCCTTTGGCTGCACTTCTCCCCCTCACATAAAGACTCTTTAGACATTTGTATGCTCATTTTCTTGGAGGAGGAGGAGTGAGAGAGGGAGAGACTTGCCAGACCTATTAGCCTGGAGCCTGAATCACACACTCTCTCTCTGACACACACACTTATACACTCCTCCAGCTCCGCGCTGCACCAAGGTAACAGTGAGTGGATTTAGCTTTAGCCATCTGGTCGGAGCGCAGAGAAAAATCATCTCTGCTGCACGGAGCGGATAAGGACGATGCAGCACTAACACACAAAGAGAACCAAAGAGTGAGAGACAGAACGACACACACACACTAACACAGGATGGCCACCGCAGTGTTTCAGGTAAGGACTGTGTGCTTGTATGAGGGGGGGAGAGCTGCTGCTTGTCTGGTATCAGAACACCGGGCTGTCCCAAGTGTTGACTCTGCTCTGTTTCACAGCAAACCCTCCGCACTATGGCTTTATTTGGAGGAAGTGCTCTATGTCTGTTGTTTTGGGCATGTAGGACATATGAGCAGTACTAGGTCCCACTGTATGTGTTCAGTTTTGACTTGCATTCATACAGTAGAACGTGTGGATTTCTGTGTCTGAAAAGTAATACAATCATCATGTTTGGATGACACAGTGCATTGCGCTTCTTCTGTGTAGCTGAACGCATTACAGGAATGTGTGAAGAGGCATGTAAGTGAGCTGGATTGGACATTGTTTTTGTTGCATTACTGTAGACGTTGTATGTAAAGCACTGCTTGTGTCTGTGTGGTCTCCTTGGCTTACCATGTTTTGTGGTTGGTGGCCCAATGGTCGTAGCTGGAATGAGAGTGGTGGCTTATGTCTGTTCTCAGTACCTATTGAGAGTACTGTAGCGTGCATGTGAGCCTGTTTTTCACTGTACTTTATTAAGCTCACCCCCTTTTTTGACTCAGAGGTCAAAGCACAGTTTAGAAAAGAAACTGCCATCAGTCTTTATAGTAGAAAGTCATATTGAATCTATGAAAACTGTATTTATGAAAGAGGGAATGTAAGCCTTCTTCCACTGATTTCAGTGTTGGTGGGTCTGCAGCTCATGAACTCAGCCGCAGTGTTTTACAATAGGACCTTGCAAAAGTTGTTGCAGAGAAAACATCGCCCCAGGCGTGAGAAACGCGGCAGTTTCTTGGAAATGTTTGGCACTTACAGTAGAGGGAGTCACAATTGCCTCCAATTTGCTTCAAATTGGGGAGAAAAAGAATAAGTGCATAGTTTGAAAACATTGAACATATTCTTAAGGAGATTTGTAAGGTAGTTATGTACGCTGACAACTGTGATTTCTCCTGTCAGCCCTGTCTTTGTGGGTGTCTGGGTTCCTAATGGACTCTTATTTGATTTGGAAGATAGAGTGTTGCCAGCGCCACATTAAACTATGAAAGATAAGCCTTGAATAGTCCTTCAAATGTGGCTTTTATAAAAACATGAATGCACTATAGTTTTGAAGAGCTGTTGCAACACAATGGCCGGCACTTTTTGATGTTAAAAGTATAATCTCTTTGATGTTATAGAACGGTCTTCCACCAGTCAACTGAGTCGAATCACTCAAACCTTCATGGCCCATGTACACTAGCAACTCTCTATGCATTGTTTTTGTACCCCGTCACTTCCAAGCACAGTGTAAAGCGCAACTATGGCTGAACACATGGCAGCTTTAACCCCAAAGACCTAGAAGCCAGCCAGTACCCCTATAGTGGGTTTGGTTTGTGGTAATTGGATTAAGCACTACTACATTTAGGTCTTAAATCTATATTCTAATGCAGACTCCCCGGAACAAGGTAGGCCCCAAATGTTAGGTTGCTAACATTTGGGTTCTGGCTGTGACTTTGACTAAAAGAAGCTAAAAGATTCAATAGAGCTGGGGGGAACTGCAGAGTTTTGTGAGTCATTTATTACATTTCATAAAGTAATTTAAACCATTGCTGGTATTAAAGTATTGATTAGAACAGTGATTTTCAACCACTGCTAGTTACCTTATAGGGGTGACATCTGTAGTAACCATGGAAATATCATGTTGTAGCTGAACTGATATGTTATATACAAATTAAATATATATTGAGTCTATTGTAACTTAAAGACATTTGTTGAGATTGATAGTGTTTTAAAAAAAGTTAGTGATGAATGAGACGTCTAAATAGCAGGCTAAAAATAATTAATTTAAAAATAGTTATCTAACCCGAAGCAAAGGATACACGGTTGAAATAGCTACTTCTTCCTCCACTAGTAGAACAAATGAATACCTGAATACTCTTTATCAAATCCACTAAGTGATACATTGAAAAAAGCTCATTCGGAGTGTTGTGGATCAAGAGGTACTTGAGTTTATCTGATAGAGCTGTTGGGATATGTCTTTAAAAAAAGCTTGGGAACCACTGGATTTGAACATCTCTCATATGCTGTAGTACACAATATCTGACATCAGATTTGTCGTCACTCGTATGATGTGTGACCCACACATTCCTTGGAAGCATTCCAGTCGAACATAAATGTAACGCAGCCCTGTCCTGCCCGGAGAGCAGCAGCATTACCCATGACTCCTGGTTGTGTGGGAATGGCGTACAACCACTGGCAGGGAGCCCGTGCCGGACTGGATTTCAGAGAAGACATTTTTCATCATTACCATCTGCCAGGGAAACAGTGCTCCAGTCAACCCCCCGTCCCTCCTCCATGCACCTCATGATAGATGCCTGACCACAGACACACAACCACACTGTGGGCAGTACAGGCACATAGGAAGGGCTGGGCAGTTTGGAAGGTGTGTGTTGACTGACTACATCTCTGTGTGAGTGAGTTTCTTGGATATGGCAGTGGTCCGTAGACCGTATAAAACCACCAGCATGAATTCTCGTGCTTCCCTGCTGACGTAATGCCTTGGTGTATGTGTGTTTCAGACCGTGCAGACACAGCTAACCCTCTGCATTACTGACAGCTTTGTTTTCTTTATTGTTTTTCTCATTGATACAGGTCAAGTTAATGACTGTGCAAAGGACTTGTGTTTGATAGCCATCATTTGTGAAACTCTTCGTGTCAGACTTGAACATTTGTTTCAGTTTACATTCCCAATGTTAAACACAAGTGTGAAAGCTGGATGAGAGTCTCAGCCACAACTTCATTTCCTTTACGCCGTTCTTTTGAGTAATTATCTTTGTTCTATTGTTCCTCTCCCTCTACCTTTCTCTTTTCTTTATTCATCTATATGGAAGGATGGATACATAAATGGATGGCTAGATGGAAACTTGGCATTGGTCCTTGATTCAAGGGTATAGAAGTACATTGGATTATAAGGAAGTGAGAAATGTTTCAACACTCACTAAATGTTATGCTCAAGTTCAAAGTTTGAATATACAACATAGGCTAAATCAATGCATGGATCATACATATCCCACCTAATGTAATACAGATAAGGTTATATCGTTGGAATGTCTTTTATCCTCACAGAATGCTTTGTGCGCAGCAATTTATTCATACCCTTTGTCCTCTGTACTGAAAGCTGGCATCAACTGTGAGCCTTCAATACATTAGCCACATAAATAATCTATAGCCTTGCCAAAGCATCATGCCATACAGTTGGGCTCTTAGTGTGATTAATAGTATCCAATAAAGGCACAGTCAAAGCTTATAATGTTTCACTTATGGTGGTTACTTTGCGGGTCGTCTGGCGCATGTGAGAAACTGCTGTCATGGGCCCACAGGAAGGTGTTTAAAGAGTGTATGAAGAACGCATATCCCGAGACTAATGTTGCAGTTAAAATGAACAGTGGACCCTTTAGAATTTACTGCTTCGAGGATGTAACAGCTCAGTATCGTTGAGAAGCGACAAAAGGCCCACCGACTTTGACCACATCACACCTCGTTCATTAAATCAGAACTGATGTAGTGTTGTCAGTTTCATTGTCAGGTTTTATTTTGTGCTACAACTCAAACCGGTGTTCCACCGAGCATGTTTTAGACGTTTTGGGTAGAACGTTGTGTTGACTTTGTTGGTTTCCACTCAAGAAAAGCTCAACTCTAAATGAAACCACTTTCCCACAATCATCGTTTCTGCCCATGTGTCCTCCAGTGGTGCCAGCACACTCAGACTAAAGCTTTCTGTGGACCCTCACAGTCTAATACCCCTTAAATAAAGGAACTTCTCATAATTCCCCTAAAAAGGAACATTATAGTCAAACATGTAATGAGGGCTAATCTTATAAATGACTCTATGCAATCAAGCCTAAAGCCTCGTATAATGGGCCTTGCTTAAATTACGTTGGCATTCTCATCATCAGAAAGAGAGGAAATAAACGTTCCCAGTCTTTGACTCAGCTTTTTAGTTTGACACTAAGTGACATTGTTCCCCAATTGCAATTCCAATTTCTCGTTATGGCTGTAGTAGACATACTGTAGAAGCATTTTCTTACAAAGGTAGGCAGCCTTATTTGACCCTCGTAGGGCTCCATCTCACAGAAAGACCTGTTTTGGCTTCAAAGCAGCATGATGCTTATTGAATGTGGCTCCTGCAATGAGAGTCAGCTGAAGATGTGTTATGTTAAGGCCATGTAGAGAGTTTTTGGATATACAGATCTATAGATTTTTTTGTTTTGTTTTAGTCATCCCCATGCCAGCACATTCATTGGCTGGGATATTGTGCGCAGCCTTAATGCAGTGCAGTTTAATTTCAGTCCCAGTTTAAGGTCAGAGTCCATGGAAAATAATCTTTGGTAAGAAGCAATGGAATACAAGTTCCCCTGCAACATGTTCCTGTGAATGATATGTTATACAAACAGTGTGAGTGGTAAACTAGGTTGATGGTTCATATTTTCATCAACTTAAGTTGATACTGTACTTTCCAGTCTAGTTTCAATTTTAGGATAGTTGTAACTAGTTAACAGGCTGATTAGTCTGGATGTCTCGCCTTAGTTTGAGGAAGGGTTAGTCGTTAGTTTATTGGTTAGTAGTGATTTAAAACACGTCACAGACAATATTGAAACTGGAAAGTGTGATTTTGTTGAAAAGATAAACGCAAATTGCATCAAGACCAATCCTTTTAGCTCTCCAGGATTATTTGCAATCATTCTAAAGCTCTGGTATCAACTCAAATACTTAACATGGCACTATCTTTGCCCACATTCAATAGATGAAGTAGAGAAACTTTTCTGCCCACAGTTGTGAGCTAGCCAGAAGCTACGTTTCAGTTTTGACTTCTTTCAGTGTGTTTGTTCAGAAGGCGAAGAGAGAAGCAAAGGGTTCATGATGTCACATTAAAAAAATTCCCCTCCAACACCGCACTAGTCAGCTTCCCTGGATTTAGTAGCCAACGTTAATACTTTGACGTGAGT